TAAATCAAAATATGACACAATTAAAGTCTGTTTAATATTTTAGAACATAATCTTAATTAAATTTATATTTAGGAGAATAGGATTTTCGTCAATATTCACTAAGAATGAAGGCAAACTAAGAGGTCTTTTTATAGAAATAACTCTATGGGTATGCTAAAAAGCTATACGTTGCCATTTCCAAGCTATACGTGTCCATTCGTATGGATTAAATGAATGGAACGCGTGAATGGTGTTATGGGCGACGCAGTATACTCTTTTATATCCATGGTGCGGTTCATGTCTATAGGCGACGGTTACAACTTTACATCAAGTGGGCCGTCAGCTCCTTCGCTATTCTAAGTTGCATAAAAAAAAAACTAAAATATTCTGTCTTCGGTAACAAACTGAACTGACCTCAGATTATACAACGAATTATGTTATTAGGCGGATAATCTTCTGTTCTGTAATCTAAGGCCTTAATTATTGGTTCCCATTACGCTAAAGAGGCCAATCATTAATCTAAGTCTCAGACAATAGCTATCTCATCTTTCAGAAGAATTGTAACTACGCATGCGCAAAAAACTGTCTAATAGCCCATAACTATGCCAATGTGGTATAATGGACTTGTAAAAAATATTTTCATCTAATGTATGTACCCATAATCGTGCAATAAATGACTTGATTCGATTTGATTTCATAATGGTTTTGTAACTAATAATTCTATAAGTGTATAAAAGAAAAAATCGATTCATTGACACGGAAATGAAACTGCAGATTCCAGAATGGATTCGAATTCAAATCATCTTTGTTCAAATTTACTTATACAATAATAAAAAAAAGCTTTTTATTATTGTATAAGTAAGAGCTGGAAAATCGATTTGTGACGCTATGCAAAACAACGACTTAATTATAAGTTCTCATGCATTAAAATATTACTTCATAACTTTATCTTGTTTATTTTATTTATTAAATATTTAATACTAGCTGTATTCTACGGTTTCACTCATGTCAATAAGTATATAAAGTACACTGTGTTATGTTAGGATATAGTCTACCTGTGTACCAAATTTCATTCAAATCCATTTATTAGTTTTTGCGTGAAAGAGTAACAAACATCCACCCTTTTGCGTTTATTATATAATATTAATAGGATTCATATCATAACTATATTGGTAGCGATTATTATATTGGTTGTGATTTCTAAGGAATCTCGTCCCAAACTTTACTAAGGGTCTTCTTCAAGAGCTGTACACATATTTATTTTGGTTGGAGCTTTAGGGATTGACTTTGTGTTTTCATTGCAAACAAGCTGGGTGTTTGTTATTGGGCATAAAATGGAGGAAGTTTTTGTTAAATTGCTGATGGGTATTGTGTTTATTTTAGTTTACGAGTACGCACGAACGTTTGATAAGTTTGAGTTTAAAATAGTTTGTGAAGTGATTCAGCGTATGAATATTATTTTGATGTATTTTGAATATATTTCATATTAATTTACGTATTATATTAGTATCTATATAATAGTGCACCATCTACACTTTGTCTTTTTTTTAATATCATTTACCCAACGCTTATCTGGAATAGATAGTTTAGCGATAAGGCCGTCTTTTATATAGCTAAAAAAGCTAGTTTAGAAATAAATAAATACATAGATATTTATAATAATTGTATGTACTATATAAGTACTTGAGTGACGACCGCGTACGGGTAAACGCAGTGTAGGACGACCCTCCACTAGATGGAGTGACGACCTGAAATACATTGCAGGGAGTCAGGGAATGCAGGTGGCTCAGGACTTCTTCTTTCCTTTCTTCTTCCGTTCTTTATGGCATTCTATGGGGGAGGCTTACGTCCAGCAGTGGACGGATAATGGCTGAAATTATGATGATATATGTACTTACTAAATTATTTATGAATACAGTATTAAATAACTGTCAGTACATTTCTAATACCGCATCCAATCTGAATGACAAGAACGTACACAATAGAATGACATTTTGTAATGTTCACTTTGTAGTTACGAAGAATTTATATAAAAATTTCATTCACATTTCAGATGAATTTTACAACACTTGAACTATGGTTAAAGTATCTATAACAATGGTTCTCTTCAGAAACGCCCAGTTAACGTAACTTGCGCATGTCTAATCGGCAAACATAAAATGAACTGCACGCTCCATTCACAAGAATACGGTAAAAATCTTTTAAATCGTACCTATACTTAACAATGAGTGTATTATAAAGTAGCAGATAATAAGGAAGCAGGAATTATACGGTTGGGAAAAGAACCAGTGTTGATTCATAGTTCATTGGTTTGTAAAGTAACCGCTCGTGCATAAGGGTATCTATTTAAAATCTCTAGTGATTGAATATTGTTAATTAGTAGCCATGCCACAGAAGAAATAATAAACACAGAAGTACAAGGCATACTATAGATAAAATAATAGTAAGTAGGTATTCTCATTATTTTTGTTGATATGATGAAATATGAGTAAAATTATTGTTAAAATATGTATTTACTTCACAAAACTTGTACTATGAGTAAAAAAAAAATATTTTTTTAATGTAATTAATTTTTAATTTATCTTGCCAGATGGTGCTTACTCTAGGTTGAGGTATGTTGAACCGAATGTATTTAATTAATGTAATTAAGTTAATAAATAAAAAAAAAACTATTGAGTTTCTCATCAGCTTTGTGAACAACTCCTGTAATTACATTTACATTGTCTAATCTCACAATAAAACAACCTTAAAAAAGTGTTCAAATTGTAACTCTTTAATACCTACTTAATACTTTAATTACCTGCTTCATTCATACGTTTTATTGAATAAATAAAAACTAGATTGCCGAGTTTTGACACTTTTATGAATAATGTCTCTAAATTTCTATTCGCAATACCGCGTAACTATTAATAATAATTAATTAATAGTTGATTGCATAATTGGTTACATACAAATTCGTTCATAAACACAGCTTCTGAACAGTGGATAATATTATAATTTAAAATTTTAATTTAATGACTAACAGACGTCGAAGATGCTCCATTCAGACGGAAGACGCTTATTGTGACAATTTGTTTAATGTGTAAATAATTTTACTAGGAAGGTATATATATTTGTAATCATTGTGTAGGTCCCGGCATATCCATGCCATCCATTTCTTTCCTGTGGGTGTTGTAAGAGGCGACTAAAGAAGTGTCACAGTTTCCCTCTTAAAACATTACCTAAAGCCAAACTGCGGTTGTCAACCTGCCTACCCAGCGTGGCAAAACCCCTCTAATGGAGGAAGCTATGTTCAACAGTGGACATTTAACGGCTGATACAAAATGTCAAGTATATCCCAAATTTCATAATAATTGCCTGATCGTTTACAATGCTAAGACGCTACAGTAACAAACAAACTTAGATTAATGCTCTATGAGAAACCTAAACATACAAAGAAAAAATCACTTTTAACCGTTCTTTGCATGATTTTTTTTATTGGTCAAATAAATCAAGGTGATATAATTCATGTTCAAAATTAAAAGAAAAATGGTTAAAAAAATAAATTTTATAGCTATATTTTTTTGCAGTGGACATTATAAAGGTATCCAGACATGATTAACTTAAAGTGAACTTGTTCTTTTATATAATTTTTAGGCATTCAATGTTATGATGGAAATTTCCACCATTATGCAAAGAAGGGTTAAATTTGTAATAACATTAATAATCAATATTATTAAGTTAAAGTTAGTATTATATTATAGTATGCTAGAAGTTATTGTACTAAGCATGAAAAAGGTGGGTTAATAAAAATGCATTTGAAATACTTTAATAGAATTCACATATAATACATGTATTTATAATTTTTACTTATTTTTATTTCATAGACGTATTAATTGCAACCAAAATAATCTTGATTTTATCATCACTGTGATCACATCACAGATCACATAAGATCAAGTGCAAACTCACCTAGTAATATCTTTTATTATCACCTTGTAATAAAAAAAAATTAAAAATTAAGTGTGACGTCATTTGTAACATAAATTTATATAAAAATTATATTATAATATCCAAACTATATAAAAAATAAAATTATCGTTACTATAATGAGCCCGTATAACTCAGCATGAGTCCGAAATTCAATCAATAGGAATTTATTGCCCAGATTCGCAAAGCATCCTTCTTTCGTAGTTTGATTGTGAGGCGGGCATTGTGTTCTTTTTATTTTGTTCCTTAGCCTTTATTTTTTTTCTTTTCACCATAATAAGACGGCGCGAGCCTATGCCGTCGGCTATTATACTTTAGAAGAAAATGACAGTGGAATCACCGCCCACTTTTTAAATTTGTTTTGTTGAGTTTCGAAAAGTTTTTAAAGATTAAAGAATAAGGTGTACGGTTACAGTTTTTATTGTAAGTTTCATATCTGAATACATTACCTACAATATAACATTTTCGTAAATATGTGATCGATTTTTGATTTGAAAAAATTAATATTGCATATGATTTTTTTTTCAAGCCAAGAAAATATATTTTGGTTCCGTAAAAATACTGGTGATTCTATTATGGAAAAAGTAACTTAGAAGTGTATTCTATTGATTGTAAATAAATTGGAGTTATGTATAACTAACTAAAGTTATCAATGTTTATCAATATCACATACTCGTAATAAACATACATTTATAATCTATGAGTAAATAAATAACTTTCTTTTGTAAGTCGATTAAAAATTAAGTATTATTCATATAATATGTGTTTGTTTATGGCCAGTATCACAACAAAAATATATCTTGGGAGTCATCAATATTAATATATTAAAAAAAATTTTTAGATCTTATAGTACACTATTTGCTAGGTAGGTATTTCGAATACACATTAGACAGCAATAAGATAATTTAATAGTGTATTATCTAAAATAGCGACAAATTTAATAAATAAATTCTAAATGTACCTTCTAATACTGGTAACGATATTTTTCTTATGGTGTTATGGGGCAGGGTTTTAACACAGTTGGTGTTTTTGAAATGACTAGACTCGTAGAGTATCTGAATTGAACTGTCTTTATTATTACAAATCGTCCATATATATAGTAGAGATATCTTAATTACTATTTACAATTACAATAGTCAAATACTTCCATCGAAAGAGTGACAACAAATACAGATAATAACTTACTAATGGAAATTTGTATGAGATAAACAAATATACAAATATGAATATTAAACAATATAATGATTTCGATATCAAATGGACAAATACAAATATACAAATAGGAATGTCAAATATTATAATGATTAGGTCGTAGGCTGACACATGGTCTTAGGTCACGTACTCTTAATATATGTAACACCTCCCCCTTAGAATAAAGATTGGGCTTGAGAGCTTGATCTTTGAACTCTCGGTGTTGAAGTTCTTGGATAATTTTCTTCATTTTCCTCTTCGTCTTCCGTTACGCAGGTACTTGTTGCTATAGTAGTCATCGGGACGGCAACTTGGATTCTCTGACGTCGTGATGTGTTTGAAAAACAGTTGTTAAATATTTGTATACAACTATTATCACGGCTTGGTCTTCGGTTACGCAGGAGTAATCCATTAGGACAACGTTTGCTAATTTTATAAATGAAGTATCCTAGCATTGTTATGAATAACACGAAGTATATCCATGTAAACGTTGACGAATATCTTTGTAGGATTGGTCGAGATCTCATATTTTCTAAGCTTTCCTTAAATTTATCGACATGATGTTTTATTTGTTTCAGTGAATCCAAAGGCATTTCATTAATTTTAATAGGAATTAAGTTTGGAGCTTCAAAGTTCTTGTATTCTTCAAAGCAATCGTCTGTTCTAATGTCTGGAACTATTACAGGATATGTTACATTTTCTTCAATAGATTGAAAGGCTGTTAGCGTACTATACCCAGTATAAAGTTTGCAGTTTTCCGGTAAGGATAAAATGCCTGCTCCTTGTAATTTATGATGTGTAACTTCCGTTTTACATTGAAGTATACAATTAGTGTCTTCTGTAAGTATGTAAAGCCATTGGTTGTTGTCAATGTTTTGAAAAGTGTTAATTCTTGCTTCAAATGTGGATGTGGTACAAATTTCAGGTAAAGTCTTTGAAATGCTTAACAGGATCTGGAGCTCACATAATGGACGTGATGCTGCTTCATATGCGACAAAAGAGGTGCAGATCTTCTTCTTTATAGCGTAGGACTTGCATGAAGTGAGGTCGCTCGTAGATACGTATATATTACCGCTAGGATTTGTAGCCAAATGCATGTGCTCAGGTAGGATGGTTGTATGCAGAGAGGAATTAAAATGTTGGATTGGAATGGAATATATGTGATAGAGATTGAGAGGTTCGCCTTGAATTAATGGAAAATCTAATATGTATACAAGCCTATCAGAATATACATAAGCAGAAAGAGAAGATAAGTTTAATATTTGATTTTACGAACAATATGCTTGCTAAACAATCATTAATTTCATTTTCTAGATTTATTACGGATTCTACTATCTGCAAAGAAATTACGGAAATGTCTACACTAGCCTAATCTAAAGATTTAAAATAAAGAACCTTTTAACTTGAATGTAAGTCATCGTTGAGACTGAATATTTTCATTAATTATTCGATCATCATAAGTTATCTTAAATATACTTTCATTGAAGTTTTTAGTTGTTGAAGAAATAATTAAGATTTGTTCGAGCATCAAGAAAGAAGATTCTATTACAAGTTTTTTTCTAATTTATTAAGGTAATATCGAATTGAACAAACATAAGAACTATTATTTATAAATTTATGTTTTAATTATGTTTTATTTTTTATTAGAAATAAAGACGATTTTAGGACGATTCGTAAGCTAACGAATATAACAAAAATGATATTTTGTATAATGATTAAAATTGATTGATTATTGAAGAATTATTGATTTAATTGATTATTGAAGAATTATTGATTTAATTGATTATTGAAGAATTATTGCTTTAATTGATTATTGAAGAATTATTGATTTAATTGATTATTGAAGAATTATTGATTTAAATTGATTATAGAAGAATTATTGATTTAATTGATTATTGAAGAATTATTTATTAAATTGATTATAGAAGAATTATTGATTTAATTGATTATTGAAGAATTATTTATTAAATTGATTATAGAAGAATTATTGATTTAATTGATTATAGAAGAATTGTTGATTTAATTGATTATTGAAGAATTATTGATTTAATTGATTATAGAAGAATTATTGATTTCATTGCTTATAGAATAATTATTGATTTAATTGATTATTGAGGAATTATTGATTTAATTGATTTTGAATATTGCTTATAATAAATTAATACTATAAGTTGTTTGATGTGGAAACAACTTAACATGTTAGAGCTATTCTTTGTACAAGCCGGCGTCTATACGGCTCATTGTTTGTTAGTCGCCTTATACGACACGTCAAATCTGAACGTCAGTGCTATTCTTTGGTAAAGCCGACTACTACACGGCTGATTGTTTGTTAGTCGCCTTATACGACACGTCAAATCTGAACGTCAGTGTTATTCTTTGGTAAAGCCGACTACTACACGGCTACTTGTTTGTTAGTCGCCTTATACGACACGTCAAATCTGAACGTCAGTGCTATTCTTTGGTAAAGCCGACTACTACACGGCTAATTGTTTGTTAGTCGCCTTATACGACACGTCAAATCTGAACGTCAGTGTTATTCTTTGGTAAAGCCGACTACTACACGGCTACTTGTTTGTTAGTCGCCTTCTACGACACGTCAAATCTGAACGTTGGTGCTATTCTTTGGTAAAGCCGGCTTCCACACGGCTAATTATTTATTTAATTAACGAGTTTATTTATTTCATAAGGTCTTAATCTATTTGCGTGAACTAACTGATGTCTCCCGGATTTACGAATAACATAATTTTCATTAAAGCCTACACGTATCACATCGAATGGCCCTTCCCACTTATTATCTAAATTATTTGGGTTAGGGACCTTGATCATCACCTTGTCACCTACATTAAATTTAGCAATATTTTTAATTTTCCCGTCGTAACGTTCCTTGGCTTTTTCTTTCATTTTCTGAACGTTCTGTGTTGCGACATCGCGGGCTATTCTAAGTCGTTCGTTTAAATCTTTAATATAATCGAATGCAGTATAATCGGGTATTGTTTTTAATGAATAAAAAGGTCTTGGTTTAAAACCAAATAGAAGTTCGTAGGGTGTGAAACCTGTAGAGCTATTAACTGAGGTGTTATGACATATAATAGCCAGTGGAATAATTTGATCCCAATTTTTCAATTTACGTGCCTGGTACATTCGTATGTGATCTCGAAGTGTGGCATGAAACCTTTCTAATGCACCATTAGTTTGAGGGTGGTAAGCTGTATTAAAAGTTTGACTTGTACCGAGAAGTCTTATTAATCGCTTCATTAGTCCATTCATGAATTCAGTACCTTGGTCAGAATGGAAACGTCTAGGTACACCGAAATGTTGACAGAAGTGAAAGAGTTGCTTAGCAACTGTTAGAGCTTCTTTATCAGAAATTGGATAAGCTTGGACGTACCTAGTTAGTTCATCTTGTAGTGTCAATATGTATTTGTTATTATTGTCACTAATGTCAGAATATGATACTAAGTCTATAGAAACACGTTCAAAAGGTTCATTAGATTGGGATGTTAATACCATTGGAGCTTTAAAAGTTTTTCTTTGAATCTTATTGCGCTGACATATTTCACAAGAGTTTATGTAATTTTTGATGTCTTCGGCCATGTTTTTCCAGAAGTAATGTTCTCGAATTTTCCTAGTGGTTTCAATTATACCTCGATGTCCTGAGAGCGGTTCATCATGGTATGTTTTTAGAATGCTGGGAATTTCCTGAGGCGAAGGATGAGTAATTTTATTCTCGCAAATGATTATATTGCAATTATATATTTCTGCCAAATAAGCTGAGATATGTAGCTGTTGATTGCCCTGAAGCTTGCAAGTTTGATCATATTTCAGGTTCGGTATATACAAAGTTTCAATATTATGCTTATGTAAGCACGATAACAATGATTTAAAATAACTCTCCGCGTCCCATGGATCATAGTATGATGTTCTAGTATAACAAAGGAAAATGTTTTGCTGATATTCAGAAGTTATTTTATCTATGTCGTAGACTTGCTTTTCTGTTTCAGGTTGATTGCTTTGGGAAGCACATAGATCTAAAGCTTCGTTGTATAAGTTATTAAGATCTGATTTTTGACACGACACAGGGATGAAGATATTTTTATGATTAGACTCTAAAAGATTTTCAGGTGAAGTTTTAAGCTTATGTGAATTAGCGCTACAACCTTGAGATAAGAATTGTTCATAGTTTGTTTTTAATAATGTTTCAAATTGTTTTTCAGGGTTGTCTGTACCCATATTTAATATAGGTGGTCGTGATAAAGCATCGGCGTTTGTATTATTTTTTCCGGCTTTGTAATTTATTTCATATTCATATTCTTCTAGTTTCAGTCTCCAGCGAACGAGACGTGATCCCGGATCTTTAATGGAAAATAACCATGTGAGTGGTTTGTGATCAGTAAATATTTTAAATTTTCTACCGAATAAATATGGTCGAAAGTGTTTCACGGCCCATACTATTGCGAGAAGTTTGCGCTCTATGGTAGAGTAATTACTTTCAGCTTTATTTAACGTACGTGATGCGTAAGCAATAGGTAAATCTTTGCCAATTTCACCTTGCGAGAGAATCGCTCCGATAGCGTGGATTGAAGCATCCGTAGTTAATATAAACTCTTTAGTAAAATCGGGATATTGTAACAGAGGAGTTGTGAGAATTTCCTTACAGGAGTCAAAAGCCTGCTGTTGTACACAACTCCATGTAAACGGAACATCCTTTCTTAATAAGCTTGTTAAAGGCTTAGTGAGCTTACTAAAGTTAGGTATGAACCTACGATAGTAGCCTGCGAGACCAAGAAATGATTTAATATCTTTACATGATTTAGGGACTGGAAACTCACGAACTGATTTTACTTTTTCGGGATTTGGCTTTACACCTTCACTCGATATAATATGACCCAGGTAAGCAACTTCTTTTCTCAAGAATTCGCATTTATCTGGTTGTATTTTCAGACCGTATTTTCGTAACCGATCGAATACTTCAGTTAATTTCTGTTTATGTTCTTGAAGGCTGGATGCAAACACTACGATATCATCAAGGTAAACAAAGCATCGTTCTCCTTGTAATCCGTAAAGTACACTATCCATGGCACGTTGGAATGTAGCTGGTGCATTTTTGAGTCCGAAAGGCATTCTTAAAAATTCGTAATGACCAAAAGGAGTGCTGAAGGCAGTTTTGGGAATATCCTTGGGGTCTAATTCAATTTGATGGAAACCGGATGCTAAATCTAAAGTTGTGAAATATACTGAATGTCCTAACTTATCTAGTATGTCAGTTATGTTAGGCAACGGGTAACTGTCTCCAATAGTGACGTCATTTAATTTTCTATAATCAATTACAACACGCCATTTTTGTTTTCCAGACGCGTCTAATTTTTTTGGAACTACCCAGATTGGACTGCTCCATGGAGAAGTACTATCTTTTATAATATTCTGTTGTAACATTTTGTCTATCTGATTTCTTACTTCTTGTTGGTGTACTTGAGGGAATCTATAAGTTTTAGTATTAATTGGTATATCTGACGTAGTAGGAATAGAATGTTTAGTGTGATTCGTGAACGTTAGTGGATCGCCTTCCACGTAGAAAATGTCCGAATATTCTGAAGTTATTTTATCGAGAGATTCGCTTTCTTCTTTATTTAAATGATCACACCTTATAAGGCTCCCGATATCTATTCTTTGTTTTATAGAGATGTTGTTAATTTGTGAATTGGGTAAGGAAACAGACTGTTGAATTAGTTCCGATTCGTTAACAGAATTTACATCTATAATAGGCGTTGAAATATATACGTCATTATCACTCGAGTTTACACAAGTAATGAGAAAGCTATTATTTTTGACATTAACAAGAGCATTAGGAATACAGATATCGTTACTAATGTTTTGCTTATTTATCATTGCAGTTCCGTCTGATATATCATTAGTTAAACATGATATAACTGTCTCCGAACGACGTTTGATAATTTGTTTACCATTATCAAAGTACTTTGGTTCATCTCCCAGAAGGAACAACTGATAAGTCCTGTCATGTATTCGCATCGTTTTTGATTGAATATAAATGTTGACATTGAATTTTGACATGAAATCATTACCGAGTATACCATCAGCGTGTATGTTTAAATTTGCGACATGGAATTTAAATTTTGGAAATTGATCTAATGAAATGTGGGATGTGCCACATGTTTGAAAAGGCGAATTTTCATTAGAGATACCAATAATAGAAACGACGTTTGATGTATCGATGGTATTTTTACCGATTTTATTTTTATTTATAACTGAAATGGCTGCTCCCGTGTCTACTAATAACGTAACTGGTTGGCCATCAATATGAAATTTACAGTGCAAAAGATTTTCAGGAGGTATATTTAATGTAGAGATATTGTAAGATTCATTAGGATAAGCTCTTTTCTTTATTTGATTCGATTTTAGTTTTATTTTTGATTTTTGTTTCGATTTACGAGATTTTTTGATTTTTTAGTCTTTGTAGTTTGTTGATTGCGCATGGGATTTGAATTAGATTCTTTTAATATAGGTTTTAGACATTGATCTTTTTCAGAATTAGTGGAATTAGTGATACAATCTACAGAGTTAATAGGTTTCTTTGATTGATTTAGTAAGGTTTCTGTGACCTTTATAAGAGATTCAGTGATCTTTGTGAGATTAATGATTAATGATTCAGAGAGCTCTAAGTTTGACTTAGTAGCTATCGTGGTTTTATTATCACAAGTACACACATCGCTTAATTGTCCCCGATGGACTGGAATTGTTTGCGCTTGTGTAGTGATGTTTGTATTAGATAATGTAGTATGACACTGATTACTATTGAATTTTACTGAATTTGAAGATCGTTTATTTGAGGTTCTAGGGCAATATCCTGACCCTCGGTGATCATTGAAATATTTGGGCAATACGTGGGAACCGTTTCCGAAACTGTGCCCGTCAGCTCGGCCGGTTGCAAGTTTAAATGATTTACTCGAGCTGGAGTCGGATTATTTCGCGGAAATTGGTTATTACGACTATTATTAAATATTCTCTTTCTACAATTAGTTATATGATGTCCGGGTTTTTTACAATAATTACATATAATAAATTTTCGCGGATTGGTATTAATAGTATGTTTATCTGGTGGTTTATGTATTTGAGGTTGATTGATCTGAGGTGGTTGACGAACGACATTGCTATATAGCGGTGTTGTTATTCGACTATTTTTAAACAAACTTTGCCTAGCCGTATTCATTTTTCGAATTTTTTCTTCTTGAATTGCAAAGTTTCCAGCATGAGTTAATGAATCAAAACCTTTTGTTCTTAACATTACACCTATGTCAGAACTTAATCCATTAATAAAAACGTTCAGAGCTGTTTCTTCCGTAGTAGTTTTCCGTCCTATTAATGTCGCATCTACCACTTCAGTTGTTAATTTTTCTAAGATTTTATTTCTACATAAATCTACGCGGTGGAAAAATTCCGTTACCGATTCATTTGGTTTCTGAAAGAGTGATTGTAGTTCGAGATTTAGATGTGAAAGAGTTTTTGTCTGCGAAAATTTTTGTATAAGGAACGTTTTTAAGTCGTCCCAGTTTGAGTATAGTTTCGCGTGGATATCAGAAGAAGTATTCCCACTTATTTTGTTTAAAGCGTAAATTAATAAAATTTCTTCCTGCTCTAGACTTGCTAATTTAAAAGCTGAATCGCACGATCTTATGAACTTATATACTTGACCCGATTGAGTTGTATCGAAATCCGGTATTAATTGTAATAAAGTATTTAGCGGAACATTTTGTTCGCAAAATTTAGGTTTTACGTCAATATTTTGTTGTGACATAATGAATGTTGAAATTAGAATAATTGAATTCGTAAAATTGATATAGTATAATAGAATATTAAAAATAGATAGAAAAATAGATTTTGAGTTTGAATAATAAAATTATTTTATGATTTAGGCGAAAAAGATTTATGAAAAGGAAACAGAGAAAGGAAACAGAGCAACATGTGTTGACCACTTACCCCAGTAACAGCAACAGGATACGCATTGCAGAGTATAGATTCGGCGAACTATTCAAAGCCCTTCAGGCACCGTCCTAGGATTGTTGGCGATGTTTGTCCGAGTCCCAGACGTTAAGTTCGACTTGCACTATTACGCGACGGATCCTACCGACTGCGCCAAAATTGTTATGGGGCAGGGTTTTAACACAGTTGGTGTTTTTGAAATGACTAGACTCGTAGAGTATCTGAATTGAACTGTCTTTATTATTACAAATCGTCCATATATATAGTAGAGATATCTTAATTACTATTTACAATTACAATAGTCAAATACTTCCATCGAAAGAGTGACAACAAATACAGATAATAACTTACTAATGGAAATTTGTATGAGATAAACAAATATACAAATATGAATATTAAACAATATAATGATTTCGATATCAAATGGACAAATACAAATATACAAATAGGAATGTCAAATATTATAATGATTAGGTCGTAGGCTGACACATGGTCTTAGGTCACGTACTCTTAATATATGTAACAATGGAAGTTCCAACCAACTAAAATACCAAATAAAACATTCTTTCTATCACATCACGTCCTTGATAAATCTATATTGTCACAGATATCCCATAAACAAGAACAAATGCCTCTATAGTGGCTATCTAACACGTGTTTGGACTATATTGTTATCCAAAAAAATAAATTTAGTACCATCGTAACTCTATGATATACAGTGTTGCATTTCCAAACTTAATCATATTTAAATAAGATTCTATTTATATTAAAACTAGTATGATTTTCAACTATACCGGCACGTAAATTTTGCTGATCGATTATGGCTTTTACTTCTCATCTAATAGATGTGACTTTAGTTAAACTTTGTCTAATCTAACAAGCATAAAAGTGAAGAATATCACTTGATTCTTAAGGGGCATTTTAAGGGCCATCGCTAGTACCGAATTATTGTGTTACAACGATCCATCAAAAAATGGACGGTTCGATTCTATTGAACTTTTTGCGGGATAGTCATTTCCTGTGTCCCTTATTTAGTAGAATTTTTGCAATACAATTAAATTTTTGGGGAATATTTTTTTCTTTTTCGGTCAGTGGGTAGGTTTTATGTTACCGATCATCGATTTTTTAAGCACGGTATAAGCGTTCCGTTTGAGGCTGCTTTTTGATTATGGCATGGCGATATTTTTTGTAATAAAATGTTTTTTCCCCTTGCGAAATCACTATTCAATTTTTTTATCTGGTTAGCTTATAAAATGTAGTATAATAGGTATAGATAAAGAAAGAACGATCTATTAAATTTTGAAAAGCCAAATCTTTTGAAAAGAAAATTAGGTATTCATATGTAAATAAGGATAAGTACGAGTGGATAAATAAATACAATAGAGGAAAAATATAGTTAGTAAAATATATGTAGGATAATTTTATTAAAACATATTATGCTTGTATTATAAATCCGATTACTACCTATTAATTGGTATAAATATTTTCCAATAAGAGTAAAATATGTTTTATGCACCTACATTATTTTTAAATAAATACTGCGAAATTGCGCACTTAACTGTCAAAAATAATTCGTTCTTTTCATCACCCAAAAATCCTCGATTTCCGGCGGAAAAAATGCGGAATGCGTAATTTAAAACCGCACAAAATTGCCGCTATGCACGTGCAGTTAAAATGTATTTTTTCGAGTTGTATCTGTGTTTTAAAAAAATATACTTTGGGCGAGGTTGTCTATGGTTTTTGCCGCGAATTTTTGCGTCACGTGTTTATGATTTGCGACGCCATGCCGCTCAGCTAATGGGCGCTTGTTGTCGCGACATTTCCTCTCGTTTGCGTCAAATATTGCAGCAAGATTAGTCACATTTATATTAGTATAACTGCACGTTAAAGATAAGAATAGGACATTGTACAAAAATTGTAATAATTGTATTGTATAAATTGCATAAAATGTTAATTATTTTTATGTCATTACTTAACTACTAAAAAGTAACTAATATTGTTTGTATACAAATGTATATAATAATACAGTGAAATGAGTTTAACTGCACATCTTTAAATTAAATTCCTACATAATTTTTTATTTTTTTTTCCTACTTACACTTTTTAATTTTTAAATAAATTAAATGTATTAAATTATAACTAAAAATGTTTTTCAATTAAATGTCCCCCTAAAAAGTATGAAACAGACACCCTACAACCAATCGGAAACGACTGAGTGTTACTCAACAACACCTAATTATAAGTCCGTAATGGCTTCCTACAACACTTAGCGTATCCTTGCGAACACTTGCAGTTAATGACTCTTCTGTGTCTATAGTGTCCACAGCAATAAGAATGGCGAGAAGTGGTTACTTAAATGTGAAGGTTTTTAAATGACAAGTGGTCACTTTAGTGATTTTAAAATTTGACGCCACCGGTGTCAAGTGAATGTATAAAATCAGTTGTTGTCTATAAGCATGTTTTGTAAGCAATACTTTGCTAAAATTTAAGTAGAGAAAGAAAAAATAAAGGTTTTATAATAAAATCAAAAAAATAAGTTTTAGTTTACCAGAGGGAGACTTTGTACAAAAGTCGATTGCTTGGGTACCTCTGTCCCATTCATGTTTCAACCGTAAAGCAGTTGTGTTTGCATGGCTGTGTTTTGGTTTGAAGGATGGGATAGGCATGGCGTGAATTTACTGGGTACGGAGGAATAACACCTGAGTCCTCAGGAATGCAACGCATGGGGGTATTATGGGCGAAACAGTACACTCTGTTATGTCCATGGTACTGTGTGATGGTCCCCCCCTTTGCACCCCTTATAATAACTACCCTCTGAACTAAGCTACACATGGAAAACCTACAAAGCCTAAGAAAAGCCTACGAAGGCTTTACCTAATGAAATCTATGAAAATATAATGAAAATCTACCCTAAAGAAAGGCCTAACACCCTCAATATAGCCCATACCTATATTAACTCATACACCCTAAACATCTTATGAATCTTAAAAAACCTCACAATAAACACATAATATTGAACAGATCTTTAGTAGAACACTTGATCATCTGGCCAGATAAATAAATGTGTGATCGTCTAGTAATGTAGGACCCGTTGTGTGTGTAATAACCAAAAGGTTCTTTAATTGGTATATGATAGGAGTTAAATAATGAAGATGATTGATAAATCTTTAAGGATTAAGAATAATTAATGAATTATACTCATAATTCATGTAACTAGGAAGTTATGTTAATTTAATAGTAAATTACAGAACAACTGTAATAATAAAAAAATGGGGGAGCGGTCGGGCCCCTCACACGCCCGGACCAGTGGAAGACTTTCCAACTATCTATAACTCTTCCTCCTAAAAGGTAGGGAAGGGTATTACTATTTATTAATGCACTCTGATGGTAATAAGGGCATGAGTATTCTCAGTTCCAAACCAAACATAAGTACATTTACTTCAACATTACAGTGGCTCCACCAGCCCCACGATGCTTCCAGTATAAATTGGTGTTTGCCAGAGGCAAAAGGATCGGAACTGAAATCCCAGGATCACTCCGACACGAGAGCTTACTCATGGGCGATGACCCTTTCAGTCCTATATGGCGACATAGAGATCACCCACTAACAGTACGAAACTGTTTCCCAGCGTCACCCTGTTACGAGCTTACTCAATGGGGTTTCCCTTCGGCTCCACAAGAGATCAGACCAAGAAGCGAGATCACCCAGACACCAGAACTTACTTTGTTGGGACATAACCCTTCGGCCCTATAATGTGACATTAGAGATCACCTGTGAAGACAGTCCGATAGAGATGAAGATTTGTGTGATAGGGGATACCTTCCACACCCTGGAATTGGCCAAGCCATATAATGTTGATAATTGCTATATTATAACATAGCATTGTCAATTTAATATTATTTACTTAATACCAAGAATACTCAAGGTTCAAGTTAAATCTGTTGATTAGGCCGGAGCCTAAGAACGAGTAGTCCAACCCATAGGTCGAGAGCTACTAAAAGTAATGAGTGCTATTGAATGAACTATAAGTCCAGTCAATTATATATAATATTATTGTTGATTAACCACATTGTGAATTAACCAATTATTTATTCAGAGAGATATATCTAAAGGAACTATAAGTCCTTTAAAAGACACTGATTAATCACAAGTTAACAACGTCTCGTGAAATAACCAGTTGGGTTTTCTATAAGTTTGAGGACACTAAGTCCAACAAGCTATTATTGTGTTGAGAGTAATAGAGATCTTTTGTAATATTTGTAGAGGTTTGATTAATCACATTGTGAAATAATCGGATTAAATAATTATGTAGCTTTATAGAGAGGACTAGAAGTCCTAATTGGTTGTTGTCATAAGTACTGATAAATTACACATTAAAGTGCCAGGTCAATTATTATATATAGGTATATAGGAAGGACAATAAGTCCTATTTGTGTATGTTGTAGTAGTAGAGGCAATATATTGCATAATTATAATGTGAAAGATATAGATTAAATATATATTTGTATAGAAAGGACAGTAAGTCCCATACAATTATTGTAGCTGTACTATAGTTATACTATATCTACTTCCTTTTAGTGTCTTAGTAAACCTATTTACTAAGAGGATTTCTCAGATAAACAAATGTTTTAGTGTTTAAATCATCATGATTAAATCCCTAAGAAATTAGGTCTTTAAATAATTATCATATCATTTAAGTAAAATTTCTCATATAAATAATTCCAATATTTCCCCTACAGTTATTATAAAATAACAGAAAATTATATAAATTTTCTATAGACTTAGATATAGAATCATAACGTGTATAATCTCCTTTTGTTTGACATCTGTCATATTAATGACGTATTGAATGACG